TCAAGCTGCATAATCCGAATACACCTCAGATCTAGTCTACTTCATGGGACACACAAATTTGGCAGATCAGACAAGTACTAAGTGGATCGCGATTAGTCATTCGCTTCGAAGTAATTAAAATGAATACACACCCATACAATGATGTTGCAACGATGATTGGATTGAAGCAAAGAAACAGTCTGTCAAAAAACACGAATAAATTAGACAGGACCCATAGCAGAAAAGACGGCAAATCGCAGGACAAAACGAACATGATACATTTTCTCTTGTACGGAGCTATCACCTGTCGAAGAAATCGTCAGATGCTCTGTAGGTTACAGTAGCATTACGACTCACACCAAAACCGATGGCATATGAGGGGTAAGGCAGCCCGTAGATGCAATACGCTCATTATATGCACGATGTGGCGCTGCTCCACCGTCGCTCAGCGCTCAGCCACGAACGAGGTAACCGATACGATCTACTTGGGTGAAAATTTGCTCCAAGAGCATGTTTGTGGGAGTAGTACGTTCCGAAATCGTCCAGTATGCTGGAGTATAGATGATAACTTAGAATCCGCATAATTCGCTTCGAGACAATGTGTGTCAACTTACCAGGGAAAAAGTCTTCGGGCACTTCAACGATGCATCCTTCGATGGAACTTGTGAAACGCATTCGAAGCCAGATGGAAGGCAAGCGAATGCCTCAGATTCATCCGAATGGAGTGGGACGATGGTAGACATCGAGTTCATCGGAGACAAGAGCAGACCCACTCATCAGGTGAGGTGCATCTCGGAACTGTAAGAGTGCGTCGCAGTATATCCACTGGACACCAAATACTGGCCCGTCAGTTTCACCGATGGCCACGTCTAGGTAGTGGAAAACGTCACCTTACCCTAATCCCCACCGGGTTCTCTGCTAAAATCGAGGATCAAAAAAAGGTGGTGATATACAAGGATCGCCATTATGAGGGTTTATGCAGACGTTGAGGAGGGGAAGTAAGCAGTTCCTGATGAATATGAGAACTGGCAGGAGGGAATGGGTGAACGCACAGAACAAGCTCTTACGCCCCCTCCAGTCCTTACGGCGCGTGGCTCCGCCACGTGGGTATCTGTATAGCTATACCTGTCAGGCCCATCAGCCACTCCAGCAGCTCTTCCTGACCCAGCGGCACTGATGCAACGTTTTATATCCTCGATCCCACAAAGTGATAAAAGCCTTTTCTGAAGAACGTTCCCCTAACGCCGACAACAACTATACAACTTCCCCGAGTCGGGTTGACGCTACTTTTGGAGAGAGCTCTGGTTTCGACTCTGAAACATTTTATAATAACACGGACGCCCAGTACTTATCTTCGAGATGTTGAGTGACAACCAAGAGATAAGTCTCCAAAACCTGAATTCTAACTGTCAGGGTTTGGACTAAAGAGCCCGATTTTGAAGCTTGTGTAGAAATCAGGTATAAGTATCTCGTTTTGCAGTGATCCCAATGCATGCGGGTGCCCGTTTGGCGCACCTGTTCAAAGCTTCGCTGCGGTCCTCTGAAGGCATGCTGCGCAGTTCAACGGGATCTCGACGCGACTATAATTCACGAATCCTCCAAGTATAAAATACATGGGGATGTGTTTCCGATGACCATCATAGAAGAGCGGTGATTCATCGGTACAATCAGAAGGTCTAATAAAGTACTTCAATTGCCTCGCCGGTCGCCTGCAGGCAGGCGAGCACGACTTCTATAACGATGATCTTCATGAATGGTCTGGTTTTACCACTTGTATTGCGCTCGGGTTCTTCGACGATAAGACTGCCGCAGCACTTTTCCCGGATGAGCTGGGCAAAAAAACGCGTTTCCCCAACGGATCGAAAGTCCAAACGCCTCTTGTCTGTGATCCAGTGGAGATGGCCTCGGCGCAGTCGTTGGCGAAGAAGCAACAGACATCTACACACTGCACATGATAATCCAAAATTCTTTGTGTCTCAAGGAGGCTATCATTATCTTCAAGCGTAGATCAATATACGCAATTTGCCTCCGTCGAACTCATCACAGACACCCGGACTCAGCTTCGCAGGCGAACTCTATGAGATTGTCAACTCCGGGAAAAAAACTACGAGGTGAGTTTTGAGCGCTCGCATTGTGCAATAGCTGTATACGCTTGACTTATACGTGGCATAGGCCGGGATCGTGGCCTGTCTCTTTGCGTAGGTTATGCTGGACTGGAAGGTTCTTGTGAACTATATCAGGTCGAATTTCCGCCCAGACAGGACTTTGCCAACATTACAAGAGGTATTGCGAAAGGACTCCGAAGACGGGACTTGCTTACAGATGTGAGGCTTGACTTAAATGCTCGGAAGGTCGTGCGCCCAGACAAGTGATTGTTTTATTTCCGAGTAACTTTTGCGTTGGGCTCACTCGGCAATTGTTCAGAGTTGGCCCAGTCCGCTCAACCCCGACGGAAGCGGGGAAGTTCAGTTGGAGGAACCTACTTTTCGCGTATTCAGCCCTGCCACAGATTCTAGAGGGCCATTTTTCGCGAGACTATCCTCCGAGGAACTACTCATGATTTGTTCTGAGTGTACCCTAACGTCCTTCCTTTCGTTGGCCACTATGAGCAAGTCCCTGTGGAGTCAGTTGGCAGCTCCGACGTTCCTGGATCGGGTTATGAAGACGATGATTGCACAGGGTTCCCTTCGGTGGATGGTGCCTGTAGAGTCTATGCAGGGTGGAATCGAGATAGTAGTCGATGCGGCGAAAAAATTGGCTATGTTATAGCCAGGGTATCTCTCAAAACAAGAAACGGGAAGCAGGACAAGTAAATCCGCCCGGAGAAGCTCACGGCGATAAAAGCACAGCGCAACTGACTATCAGGAGCACCCAGTCTGTTTCTACCGAAGGAGACGACGGCAACGAGACGAGCGAACACGACGAACAAGAAGAAGGCCCTACTGACAGAGATATCTCTGTGTTCCAATCCCCTGAATTTCCGACCTTCGCATTCGTTCATGCGTGCTATGCATGGAATCCATGAAGAATCGTGAGAGGATCTGGGGTCAGGTGAAGCAGTTTGAGGCTGTGTGGAAGGACTTTCGTTCAAAGGGATGGGAGATCAATTGATTCCAGCTCCAAAATGCACAGTCAACCTGAAGCCATACTTCTCAATCCTCATCCAATGTCGCAATTGGTTGTACTTTTTGATATCATCACCGATAAGTGCCGCAGCAAATCCACACACTACTACCGGAGATGGACCGGAGATGAGTCTTTTCAGTCTTGGACACTGGCACCGATTTTGATGGGAGACAAAAGAAAACGCGTTCGATGCTATACGCACATGCATGCGACCACAAACCGGACGCAGTGTGGGTCGCCGACGACTAACTACCTTGCTTGGCTCGTTAAGTGGATAAAAGAAAAGGTGTGATGTGGCCGTTGTCTTGTTTTTCGTTTGGATCTTTGGTGTCTACATACTGCATACTTTATTGTAGGATTCGCTCGAGACATAACCGAAAACAGAAAGTGTACTATCT